CCTTGAAATTGACAAATAACCTAATTCATAGAAGTTATCTTTTCTATATGTAAAATCTGATTTCTATAAAACTAAATCAAGTGAATAAATAAATAAAAAAATATGCTTCTGGTTATAATGTGTGTGGATACTCTCATATCCACGCACTAAAACTGCAAAGCTTTCCCAGTTTTAGCGTGTGGACATGAGAGTATCCACAAACACTCACGTAAAGTTGTGCAGCTTTAGTGTGTGGACATGAGAGTATCCATACGCACTAATTTATAAAAAGTTATAAAAAAATAAATGAATAAATTATCTCTAAATTTTAGATCTAATAATAATATATATTTTAATTTTTTTTATTGTGTAAATTATTTTTAAAATTTTTGAAAACAGTGCAATTTAATTTATATTATTAACAAAAATTAACTTTAATTGTTAATTGACTAAAAAATAATAGAAAAAGATTTCAAAAGTTACAAAAAAAAAACCAAAATAACAGTAAAGGATCAATTTTTTTTTTTTTGTGTAATTCTTGAGATCATTTTTTAATCTAACTAATGATCAAAGTTAACTTTTATTAATAGTAAGAGCCGGATTGTATCATTTTTAAAAGTTAAGAGAATAATTTGCACAATATACAATTTCAGAGTTTATAGTGTTACTAGACCTAAAGTTTAAGAGATAATTTCCTTATTTATAGTTTATAAAAATATATAATTGATTGACAAAAAAAATAGTGATTAACCCACCAATATAAAATGTAATGGCTAAATATTCCATAAATTAATAAATTTGTTACATTGATTTTGACAAGGAACATCAATTTTTTCCCCAAATTTGATTATATTTAAAAACTTCATATATGACTTTAGTTAATATATTTTTAAATCCTATAAATTATAGTAAATATCAAAATAATATATTTAAATTAATATGATTTATATTATATTTGAATAAATTATTTGTTGAATGATTCTTAAATAAAATTATCGTTTTTCACCAAAAATAAAATAAAATTATTGTTATATATTGCATTTCAATTTTGTAAATATAAACTTTAAATAATTCAATAATAAAAATAAATTCTTACGAATTTACATTATGAATTCATCTCTAACTCAAGTCCACTTAAACTTGCCAATCTAATAATCTTGATTTGTGTGTGTACATGTATGTATATAGGACTATGTGTGTGTGTGTGTTATTAGGAGTACATTTGTGTATGTGAAAAGCTTACAATTATAAATCGCTGTATTTTCATGACTAGGTCAATATAATCGACCAGATAGAGATTTCACACGAATTGTGGAATATTACCTACTTTGTTTTTGGATTGTATTTACATTGAAAATTAAGTTACGTAATTTTCATACTTGTGTGTAGTTATTTTTCTCTTGTTAATTTTTCTCACATCATTTTCACATTTGAAACACGTTTTAGAAGACTGTTTTGCGCATGTTGTCACAAGTCACAACACACACGCACACAGACTCGGACACAAAAGATTCTCTAAATTTTCTGCGTTTGAAATTTGACTTTAATCAATCAAATTTCAGCAGCATTGAAATTAAAAAAAAAAAAAAGGTTGGTCAAATACTTCTTGTATGCATATCGTAGTTGGATAATCACCATCACAGACCATTATTAGTATACGTATATTTTATATATTCCTTCGATTACGACAGATTTTTGGTTGAACAGAAAAATAAAATAAATAGAGAAATGATTTTAAAGGTGAAAGACAAAAATACCCCTCTCTCACCCTCTATTTAAAATTAAAATAATAAATAATAATGTAACCATTAATGAGAAAATACAATTGCAAGTCCTTATGATTTCCCACAATTTTTCAATTACGTCCTTATAGTTTTTTTTAATTAATCCCTTAAAGTTTGATCCATTAGATATGTTAATCTCTAAAGATTAAAATTAATAATGAATAATTATTTTTTTAAAATAATTTTTTTTGGAGTTTATAGAAAATTTGGTTTGAAACTTTTGAAAACAACTTAAAAAAAATTATTTAACACAATGTTTGCATTTTATTAAATTTTTTATAAAAATTCTATATGTATAAAAATTATTTATAAAACAACTTAATTATATAAATTTTGAGTTATGAAAATTTTGCATTTATAAATTTATATCATCTTTCAAGAAAAATATAAAATTGTTTAATTTTATTTTTTTAAAAAATTCAAGGATTTTAACTTTCAAGGACTAAAAAATCTAATGAATCAAACTATAAAAGCTCAATTAAAATTAAATAAACTCTAAAAATCAAATTCAAAATTTAAAGAAACTGTAAATACTTGCAATTATATTTTTTTGACCATTAAATTAGGGTGGCTTTTAGCTCCTCCACATGGTTTCTCTTGGGTAAGTCTCTCTCCCCTTTCCAGCAAACCCAACAATAAAATCATGTGGTTCCAATTAAAAAAAGGATGATAATGAAATATAATGGAATGATGGTTGGGAGAGGTGTCATATTTAATATCAGACTGTATCTCAAATAAAATTATTTCTAATAAAAATACTAATAAGTAATAAAAAATATTGGGTATATGATATTTATATTGTTGGAATGAAGTAGGTCAAAAAAAATATTGGTGGAATAAAATTTATTTGTTATCTTTAATTAAATAAAGACAAAAACGCTAGGACCAAAGTACCGTCCAAAAAAACAACCCCCCACCCACTTGTCCTTTGCACCTCCCCTCTTTCTCAACAACCACATCTGAACTAAATTTCATCAACGGATTATATAATCAAAACAAAATTTCAAAATCCAAATCAAATTCCATCCACAAAATTGTTTGAGGGTCAAATATGGTTGATCTAATTAAGTAGCTTGATCTTCAATTTTTATTTATATTTTTTAATGAATTTTGGTTTGGATTTGGATTTTAAAATTTTGATTCAATTGTTTTAATAATAATCTCTTTTAATAAAATGGATGAATATATTAACATGAATGTTAAAGTATAGCAATCAAACAGTTTAACATCTGTGACTGGAAAGCAGTAAGAAGGAAAAGATCTTAATAAGCTATGGATGTCAAAAATTAACATTGATCTGCAAGATCTAAGTAGGAAGCTTTTGAAGTATTTTTTCCCGTGACAAATCAAATTGAAGTTTGATTTTGCTATCACATGACCAAAAGGTCCCAAAGAAGAGTTCACGAACACTTTAGTGAGAAATTGGCACTATATTCAGAGTGGATTTTCTCCATTTCAGCACATACATTTCAAAGCTAGTAATTCAGGCAGGTCGAGCTGTTGAGCTTATTCGGATCAAATTTAAAGGATATTAGCTTTTGAAAAAAATTTATATAGTCAAGTACAACCCTAATTTTTTTCAGACGAATTCTGGCTAACTTGTCAAACTTAATCTAAATTATTAACTCTACATACATATAGAACTAGTAATTATGACACCCCCAACTTATTTTGATTGGGCCCAATATAGACCAGCTTATTTCGATCAGACTTAAAATATCATACTTTTTTAAAAAAGCCTTATATTGTCAAGCCCCGTCCTAACTTTTTTTAGGTAGATTCAAGCTAGCTCGTCAATCTTGACTGACTCTAATGAATTTCATTCTAATCCAAATGTATTTAGATTGATCACATTGTTTGTAGAGAATAATCACTTTCATGAGTCTAGTAATTTCTATGGGATTAGGATTTACACAAAATATATGAGATAAACCGAAAGGACTATCAGTAGGAAAGCAATCCTTATTCCCATTTCAAGCGCCCTTTGAATTTCAAACAAACAGGCTGTTAACGTGGTTTTTAATTTTCTTTTAGGCTTTTTTTTTTTGGGGTCAAATTTTCTTATGCACCTAATGTATTTTGAGAAAATATTTAATAAATAATGGAACTATATTTAATCAATTCATGATGACTCATGAGTGGTGAGGACTCTTGTCTTTTAAGCAAATGATTAGGAATTTTCCTTGCAACTCTTGTGGAAAGAGTAATTTTGGTTGGGGGAAAAATATAACAATTTTTAATTCGTTTAGTTTCCAAAGATTCATTAGTTTTTACCAATTGTTGTGAGTTTTATTTAGTTTAATCAAATTTTTAGCCTCGAATTAATCAATTTTTCATTCATATAAAAAGGATTTTAATTTTTTATTATCAATTTTTTTTACTTATTTTTTTGCCTGTCGAATTTTAGCTTTGATGGTATCAAAATTACGACCAATTCACCATAGTTTGGTCTTATGCCATCCAAGTTAGTTTGAATTTCCAAATTATACTTCTGCCCACTACTTGGAGAAGTTCCCTCAATTTGTCTCAATTCTAATTTCTAATCACTTTATTAATCTAGCTGTTGAGATTAATCATTTTTTTATACCTTTATAGTCCAAAGAAAATGAAAAAGAAATAAATATCGCATGCCTAGTTTATGAAGAGAAGACAACAAAATTTAAGAATCAATAGCTAATTTATGAAGAAGAGTATACATTATAATTATAATTGCGACGAGGGATGAGAATTTCAAATTAAGAGGATCCAAATTTGACATGACACTCATAGGAGCAAGAATTCCATAGTTCTGTTGCTGCCGATGTGAAAATTTTATTAACAAGTACTCTATATGTCTCAAATTATAAGATAACTTGAGATAAGATTATGCATACTAATAAAATTCAATAACAACACTTTATAAACTTATTTTTTTAAAACAACAATATAAACTTTTAAAAATACTTTTCATTTAATATAACCTGAAATTTACATTCTTAATCATTGCACTACAATCATATCCATTTTGTTTCCACTTGACGAGGGTGATATTAAAAAAATATTATTAATAAATCCTTATTTTTGTTAAATGGTCTAATATTTTGGGACCATAAAATATTTTTAAATTGTCTTATAATTTGGCACGAAGGGAATAGTTTGTAAGTATTTTCATAAGTATTCTTAGACTCCAAAGTTCTTCCTTGATTTTTTACACACGCGCTATGTATAGCATAATGTATAAAAAAAATGAACCAGCACTTCATTTTCATAAAATTCTTAAATAGTGCAAAAAATGGATAAAGATAAACAAAAGACTCAAAAGCACAGTCTGAACAGAAAACTATATATCTATGTACCTTGCATTTATTTGCAGAGAAAAAGTGGAAAAGCAAACAAAACTGATACAAAAGACTTGGGAAGTGAAAACCAATGCAGTTAATTAATTAGGTCTATCTTCCAACCACCATTGTAACCGTAAGTTCATTCAAGGAAACATCAAGACCTTCCACGTAAAAATCAGTGTCTTCTGATCTTCTTCTCATGGAAGTAAGCAAAGGTTGTCTTGGCAAAGGAAGATTGGTTGTTTCACTCTCAAGCATCAACACCACAGAAGACATGGTTGGTCTATGAGCTGCTGAATCCTGCACACACAACATCCCTATGTGTATGCATCTCAAAACCTTGTTCTTTGTACATGAATCTTGAATCGAAGGATCGACAAGCTCCATCGCTCTTTGTTCGTTCCAGAGATGCCATGCCTGCATACATCCCATCACAAAGCATGTACTTCAGACTTGCACTTGAAGAAACATGCCAGCAACTTCAAAAGTTTGTAAATAGTTTTGAATAAGAATTACTCACATATCCTATGAGACTTGAGTCATCTGAATGACGAAAGCTAGTGTTCTTGCGACCGCTTATAATCTCAAGTAATAACACGCCAAAACTATAGACATCAGATTTAACTGAGAATAGACCTTCCATTGCATACTCAGGGGACATATAGCCACTACAAGTGTATGGTTTTATATTGAGGTTAGTCTAGTTCTATTCTAAGTGAGAAATTATTAGAGAAAGGTATGGTTTGAAGAGAAAATTAAAGTGTGCTTACTATGTGCCAACCACTCTAGTGGTATTTGCCTCACTTTGACCTCCTCCAAATATCCTTGCTAGCCCAAAGTCTGAAATTTTTGGGATCATATCTTCATCCAAAAGAATGTTGCTTGCTTTTAAATCTCGGTGAATGATTCGAAGCCTTGAATCTCGATGCAAATAAAGCAACCCTCTTGCAATCCCTTCAATGATTTCAAAGCGTTTTTTCCAGTCTAATTGTAGTTGTTTGACAGGATCTACACCAGAAAGTATAAAATAACTTAAAAGTACAATCCATATATCATGAAATGGTCCAATAATTCTAAAAATGCAGAAAAAATATAAAAGACTGGGCAAAGTAGAGAGAAACAAACCAAATAAAAAGCAATCCAAGCTTTTGTTTGGCATATATTCATATACCAACAACTTCTCATCTCCTTGAATGGAGCATCCTAATAGTCTAACAAGGTTTCTGTGTTGTAGTTTGGCAATTAGCATCATCTCATTCTTGAACTCCTCTAGACCTTGCCCAGATTTTCTTGAAAGCCTCTTGACAGCAATTTGCTCCTCCCCACGAAGCTTTCCCTATTAAAATGAATGAAGAAAACTTGATCAGATTTTATTTAACCTTACGTTCTGAAAAGGAAGCTCAACAGAAAGCCTTTTTACCTTGTAGACTGGACCAAAACCTCCTTGCCCAAGCCTGTTTTCCTCTGAGAAATTGTCTGTGGCTATTGCAATACAATCAAAATTGAACAATGGCAATTCTGGTCCACTTAGTTCATGACCTTCCAAACTCAGTTCAGCTGATCCTGAAAATTCTGCTGAAACTTGTCTACTCCTGCTTCTTGTAGTATCAAAAACCGGAATATCACTCATCTTACAGCATGAAGCTGCAGCAACAGCTGGCAGAAACAGAAAGAAAGAAGGAGAAACATACATGAGTAGAATAGCAAGAGAAGCATATATAGAAATATATATATATATATATAAATTATTCCATCAAGGAGGAAAAAATAATCTGGGAAATGAATGTTTTACCTTTTCTTCCCTTGAACCTCCACACCAGCCAGAGAGAGATTCCAAGGCAGATTAACCCCAATACAATAACAAATACTACCACTATCTTCATCTTTTTCTTCCCATCACCTGTGTTTGCAGATAAACAATTCAGATACAACATTCACAACCTGGCTATCAAAGAAACTAGCAAGTTTTTATCTGAGATTCTTGACATTAAAAAGTGGTATCCTCTTTTTCATCTACTTCTTGTTGACAATAAAATTAACAGAAGAGAAATCATTGGATCTATTGACTGTTGAGATGGTGAAATTTCTTCAAGATCAATTCAATCATGAGAACAAATCTTAAAATATTTTTACCACACTAAGACAAATTTAAACTTACATTATCTGCAACAGAAATGCCTGAGCTATTCTCCTAGATTGAAAACTTTGAAGAAGATTGACTGATATAGTTACTTTTTCCAAACAAAACTTGATTGATCATAAGGAGAAATACCTATCCCATCAAGAAAAAAGTTCTGAATCACACTATAGGATTATTTTACCTTACCTAAATCAGAATGAGCAAGGCGAATATAGAGTGTATTTCCTCCTCCATTTTCGAAGTGCTTAATATCAAGTAGCTCTCCATGCCAAATCAGGCATCCAATTCCATTAACATAAGCATATGCAGTACAATTTGTATCCTGCAAGCAATAACTCTCACAATCTCCCTTGTTCTGAGGATTGACCAAGCTCGCGGAATCCGGCAACTTCCTGCATTGCAGCTGCAAGAAACCATCTTCTTCGACATCCACTTCTGTTGCATTATTGCTGTTATTGTTCCTCTCAGCCATCAATGGTGTCATCCTCTTACACCCACCAGACCAATTACTTCTAGTCCACTGATCCACTTCCTTCGGCTCGAACCCTCTTATGCAAGCACATGTCATTGGAGAAAGCAAGCTGCATTCTGCAAAACTCCCACACTTGTTATAAATCTCACATTTGTTATATGGCTCTTCCTGTGTTTTGATCCAATTTTTCTCGCCCTCGTTCCACTTAAACTGTCTCTCAAGCCCATCCCAACCTATCTGAAACCTCACCTTGTCAGCGATGTTCAGTGGGGTATAAGTTAAATGCCTTCCTCCATTTGCATCAGTGTTGAGTTTGAATCCATAGAGATAATTTCCTGTCATGTTGGAAACTCCTGTGAATATTCTTCCGTCCCAATACCCACTTCTCCACCTCCTTTTATCTCCTTCCCAAATCACTATCTGGGTCGATGCTCGTGGGTCAATTCCCATTGAGAAATTTCCTCGAGCAGGATCTGTGCTTGATTTCCATGACACAAAAGATCGAATCTCACCCTTTGAAGGATTCACTGGTATAGTCATATTAGGAAGAAACGTGTCAGTTGGATGATCAAAGCTTTTCCATATTTCTTTTGCATCATCCGTGGAGGAAAGAACAAGGTTTCCATCATCTCGAAGAACAGCTTCTGTGTGATTATTGGGGTTCGATACATCGCTCGACCACACTTGATTCTTATCCCCATCGAAGATTACTAAATTGCCATCATTTCCAATTTTGATAACCCCTACTCTGCCATTGATGGGCTTGTCCCTGTTCGCAACCCATACGATTTCTGGTTTGGGAATTCTGTAGTACCAAATTCCAACGTATCTCAAGGAGCTGTTGTTACCTTTACTGAAGAATCCAAGTTCGAAATTGAGTCCGTCTGAGAGTAAAGTGTCAGGGTCTGGTCCGTCTCTAATCAAGTTGCCTGGTGTGATGGAACTCGCTGCCTGTGAGGACAAAGGAGGGAAACAGAGAATGAAGAAGAGTGGGAAAAGAAGAACTATAGTTGTGTGTGTAAAAATCATGTCTCTGGTTGTTGTTCTGAAAATGGGTGCGACGAAAACAGAGTGATAATCGACGAAGAAGAAGTAGAAGTGGAAGAAGAAGTTTCAATTAAGTGAGGCGCTGAAAACGAAAGAGAGAGAAGACAATGCTCCAGTGATTCTTCTCCATGGCACAGACACGCTTTTAGGTGCGAATTTTGGGAGAAAATGAAGACGTGAATCCAGTTGGTCAATGACGCCAAATGAGATCGAGGGGCAAGTTGAAATTCAAAAGCAATGTTCATGAAAAGGCGTGAACCAATTACCATTTTTATTAGTCGCCCAGTTTTAACTATATGTGATTTTCAATGTACACTAATAAAAAAATTTAATTAAAAATAAATAAAAATATATTTTTATCACTGAAATATTATTCGAGAAATACCCATTACCCTACGCTATTTATTAAAGTAATTTTATTTTTAAAATAATTAAAAAATATTTATACTATTTTTATTAAATTCTTTAACGATAACTTTAAAATTCCAGTTATTATTTATAACCATCAACGTTGAAATCTGGCTAAAAAAATCAACATTGAAAATTTGATAAAAAGAAAAAAAATATTCTATTTTAACTATTTTAAAATCAAAATTATTCCAACTAATGATTAAGGTGCTGGACACTTTTTTTAAAATATTTTAGGAACAAAAATGTATATTTATCCAATAAAAATAAACAAGGGAAAATGATAGAAAAGTACCATAAAATGAATTAATAATTTTAAAGTCCCAGGGCACTTCTTTGTTATTACATCTTTTTGCGAAATGACTTTTATAGCCCCCACCACGGTGAAACTGAAGAGCCACATGCACGCCTCCAGCCTCCAACAATGGCCTCGACAAAGATTATACTTTTGAACCCAAAATTTTAAAAAAAATTAGAATACAATTTTTTTTTGCATTTTTTTAATTTAAATCTTATAATTATTTTTTTTACCCAAATCATTTGGTATTTAAATTTTTAAAAAATTATTATATTTTAAAAGTCACGACTACCCGTTAGTAAAAAAATTTTAAATAAGCTAGAAAATACTAAAAATAAATTACCAAAGTCATAAAATTTAATATTTATAAATAATTTTATTTTTAACTCAAATTCATAAAATCTTGTGTATTTTTATATATCATTGGTTAATCTATTGTAATCATTAGCACAATCAAAGTTGTAATTTTCTGAACTGAAACAGTCATTAAGATTTCGGTCTTAAACTTGGGAACCAAACACAATTTTTAATTGGACACGTGTCATATGAATGTTTTTAAAAACAATAAAAAATTATTTAAAAATTGCAAATAGAAGTCAATCTAAATATAAATATAAATTCATAATAAACCAATGATATATAAAAAATGGATTGCATTTCATGAGTGGTCTAAATTCATTCAACGAGTATTCAATTATAACTATTAAATTTTATCAATATTTAAAAATTATCAAACTATATTAGTCTTCAAAAATTAAAAATAATCATTATGATTAGTAAAAAAATTAATAAAAGTTTGAGATTTGATAATTTCTAAGTATTATGACAAAATCTCTATATCTTATTTATGAATTTGAGAGTAAATATCGAAATTATTTTTAAAAATTAAATGTTGTGACTTTAACAATTTATTTTTTAAACATTTTTTCTTATTTAAAAATATTTTTATTACCTAATATAGTAACTTTTAGAATATAATAATTGTATAAAAATTTAAAACCAAATAATTTGGTTTTAAAAATAATTATCATATTTAAAATAAAAAATAGTATTTCAAAAAAAAATTTAAAAATCTGGGTTCGAAGTATAATTTTTGCCAATAATGTTGTTGGAGCGCTTGATCTCCCGTTGCATAAATTCCCGCGCAAGTTAAAGCGTGATGTGATTCTTCAATTTCATTGTGCAGAGGGCTATGACAGTCATTTCGCAGAAAAACATGATGACAAAGAAGTCCATTGGACTTTAAAATAATTACGTCATCTTATTTTGTCTACTTGGGAGGGATTTTTGTGTTATTCTCCCAGTTAATAATTTTATTTAAAAAATTAATAAGTTTTAAATTTAATTTTTGTTTGGTAGACGTACTACTTTAATCACCTACTTTTTCTTACTAACGTTTAGTATAAATGAGGGAGAATTTTGTTAAAATCTCTTAAATGTGACATAATTTCAATTAAATTTTAAAAATTTTACTGTAGGTTTGAAGCACTAAAATGAAGTAAATTTTTTATTTGAATGACAAAAATACCCTTAAATTATAATTAGCATTACTGATATAACAAATTAACTTACATTTTTTTATAAGTAATATTAACAAAATAACAGTCAAGTTACATATTTTACAAGGAATATTAATATTAATAAAATAAATGTTAACTTTTAGTATTCTTGTAATATTACTAGTAAAAATTGTAACTTGACTTGTTATTAATAATGTCACTTGTAAAAATTATAATTTAACTTATTATTATAGCAATATTACTTATAAAAATTATAACTTGCCTTGTTACTTTACTAATATTACTTATAAAAATAATAACTTGAGTTGTTATTTCAATTATATTACTTGTAAAAATCATAACTTAACTTGTTATTATAGTAATGATATTTGTAAAAACCATAATTTGACTTATTAGTCTGATAATATTACTTGTAAAATTATAACTTGATTTGTTATGTTAGTAATGTTAATATAATTGAAGGGTATTTTAGTCATTCGAGCTAAAGAATTTATTTAAGTTTAGTGCTCCAAGCAATTTTTTGAAACCCAATTGAAATTATGTTATGACCAAGAAACGTTAGTGAAATTCTCCCTATAAATAAAATAAAAATTTTGCAATAAAAAATTAATTGCATGATTATAAATAAAAACAAAAAATATTATTTTTATATCTTAAAAATGAGATACGAACGGAGGATTTCTCTATTAAACAGAATAATAATTAATGTTTGTATTACATAGATTATGAGTTTATGACTAAACATTGACCCTAGTGGCTCCCACCTGAAAAAAAACCATAGCTTATTTGAAATTGATTTCCTTTTTAATTTTTAAATAATAAAATGAAAGCGCTAGCTTGGAAGAGATTTGAAATAGATTTCCAAATCGGGAAAATTCACATCACAAAATTTGAATATGTCAGTTACTTGTTCAAATTAAATGGTAAGGACAGAGAGGTTGAGGGTGAGTAAAATTCAAATATTTAAACCTTTCTAATGTATTACTCCCTCCATTTTTATTTATACAAGAAAAAAATTATAACACATAATTTAAGAAAATCAATTAATTATATTAATTGTATTTGTAAATAAAAGAATTAGACTGTAATACCTTTCATTAATTGTGTAATCAAGTTTTCATTAATTTTCTCTTATAACTATAAATAATAAAATTATAAGAGACAATTTAAAAAATTTGCAATAAATATTTATTAAAAAATGTGAGTTTAATTATATAAAAAACAAGAAGTGATTTTTCTTATAAATAGAAATGGAGGAGGAATATATACTAAAATATTTAAATGTTCATTATCATAGTATATAATTAAAAATCCTAAAAGTCACAATTAAAATTTTCAAAAGATAACATGTAAATTCTAAAAAAAAATCTGGTTGATATCTGGTTGTAGTTTATTTTTCTTTAGGTGATGAGGGCACTTTGATCTTTTTATTTTAACGTAATTAAATATAAAAAGTAAATTTCATCCCTTTATTTATAAAAAAATTAAAATTAATAAGCATCCTAAACCCTAAACTATTTTTAGAAATAGTATTATGAACCCTAAGCTCTTGAAATATGCAAAAACTCTCCTAAACTTTTAAATTTGAGTGCTTGGAACACCGCCATCGAGTTGGAGAAATGTCATTTATTTTTAAAAGTCAAAATAAGTGTTACATTAATAGACGATTAATATTCATTTTCTCTAACTTAATGGTGCAAGGTTTTAGATGCCTAGAATTTAGATGTTGATAGAAGATTTTACATATTTTAATAGTTTAGAGTTTCAGATACTATTCACATAATAGTTTAAAATGTAGGATATTCATTAATTCAAAAATTCACAGTAATTGATATTTCATTTCTTACCGTTCTTACGTAGTTATTTGATTGATTATGTCAAATTCAAACATTATTGGGTACAATTGAAATAACTCTTCTAACATTTATACAAACTCAAAACATCATACTCGTTAAAGAGTTATGGCCCTTTCTAGTAGGCTCCATGCCTGTCGGTCATTCCTTGTATTTTATTCCATTTTATTTTCATCTTTTCATGCAAACCTAAGGGCTTTAAGTTTGAATTATTTTCATTTAAATATTTTTTTGTATTTATGATTTTGACATTTTCAACGTATACATTTTGATATTGTTTTTATCTCAATATCTTATCAGATTTTATATTTCTTGTAATATATATATATATATATATATTAAAAAATTAAATATTTTAATTGTAGATCATAATAAATTAAAAAATGCACACGGATTTTATATTTTATAATTACAACTAGATGAATATTTTTGACCCGGAAGATGAAGAGTTTGAGTCACACAAAAACTAAGAATTGTAATATGCAATATATAATAAATGGTATTTTCTAGAGGCTAATCAAATTTTTGTGTGTGTGGCAGTAATGGTACAACTAGAATGATCATTAAAGTGGATGACCATAGGTCAAAATTAAAACACGTGAGATGAATAATGATTAATTATTAATTAATTACATAATTAAGTAATGAAATGGTGGCAATTGTTTTACTTTTTTTTCAATGTTTTTAAAATCAGATTGGATATTGAATCGGAAAGGTTAACAGTTTACAATTCACATGTTTCAATTGAGTTGGACCTTGATATAATAATTAAATTAAAATATACATATATATATATATATAATAATAATCTAAATATAAAAATAAATGTGAAATTACTATTTAACTTAAAATAAAATTAAATATTTTAAGTTTATCATGACTCAACAAGTTACATGATACAGTACTACATCAAATGATTAAAAAAATTGATCATTTTAAAAAATTTGATAAATTTTTTTTTGAACAATTCAGTTTTGAAAATCGAGTCCAGTTTTCTTCTTAATCTTGATTTTCAATCTGATGGTCGGCCAAAACAACTCAACCCAGTTCAATTTTCAAAATAATTTTTATATATTGATTGAGTTGAAATCCGGTTCGAACAACGAT